AGGCCCACAAAAAAAATTTAATCGGGCCTTGCACCTATTGCATCCCACCCTACTTTCAGTACATTAATAATGGTATTTTCTAAAATGTGATAATTTATATAAATAATCGAGTGGATTTAATTTTTTCACTGTTTAATTCATTAATGAAAGCATTGGTATACAGAATCTCAAGTCTTGCTTTCTTATCTTTTAAAGAATTATTTAATTTTCCTGCATAGAAAATGAACAGAGTAGAATTAGCATGGTTTGTGATCTATTCTAAATATTCTTCATTATAATTTTAGTGAAATGGGAATCCAACTTCGGACTGATGTAAAACCAATATAGAAATTGAACGTCGTTATTGTATATATTTGTTTCATTTACTTAAATAATAAATAAATAATAGCAATATGATTTAATGGAATTAAATCTATATATTTTCAAACTGCCTTTTGTAAATCATGCGCATCAGCACGAACCTGTCAATCTTAACGGCATCCTTAAGACACGATGTAAATATCAATCAAATTTATAATATTATAAATCTTTATGTTATATTAAGATAATTACATCAATTTATTTTCTAGTACGCATTATGAAATTTAATATACAATACTCTTCTACCTACAAATCAAACATGTGTCTGGAAAGCGGAAGAATAAATTGATACTTATATAAGGAAGTGGACAGAATTCTTGTAATTCGAAAACGCACATTCAATCCGCCTTTGTCTATTCAAGGTATTGCAGACTACAATTCATTCTGCGTATTGCAAAGATTACCTCGAATAATTATTTTCAGCTAATTATTCTTATCATTATTTAATAAATATGATACGAATGTTTTCAACACCTACGGGTGTAAGATTAGAAAAGGAAGTATGTGTGCGCTGTTTGCTATCTTCATTTACATCAGTCGCAATAGTGTACGGATGGGACTTTTTTATGCCTTGTTCCTGTGTGGCAAAACCAAACCCTTACTTGCAGAAACTTATAAACTTTTACATTTCCTTTATTGAAATAGTTTATTGGGTGCATGCCGTTCTCGTTGTTTGTATGGCAATTCCTTATATATCGGACATAACGCCTTGCTATTCCTGGTACGCGATCGTCAACTATGACCTATATGGCAGACTCGTCCTTGCCGTTCTCGATTTGGCTATTGCTATACTATTCAGCATTGCCAAAAGAGTCAAATTGAGCCCAAAGATAAAATTAAGGAAGTCGTATCGTTTTCCCCCAGATCAACTATTCTCTACTGTCGACAGTATAGTATTTTATACAGTAATTATTTTTGTGGGTTTTACGGTATTGATTGCTTGTGGAGAAGTTTTGTTATTGTACCCACATTTGGAAAATGGAGTCTTATACGTATGAGCCACTTTTCTGTTGCATCGAAGTTGGTCTGGCTGGTACTTTTCTTGTCGGGGGAATAATGTACCTATCTCTGTTTATTATCTTGCTTATGTATACTTTAATGAAGGTATTTGAAAAAGTATCAGAAAATTTGTATTTATTGAAAAAGAACAGTCCAAACTTGAAGTCTGAATTGGAAAAAATTATAATACAACACGACGAACTTTGGAATTTTGCAAATCAACTCAATGGACCATTCAATGACATATTAACAATTTTATACGGCACCTTGTTAATGGAAACGAGTCTACTTTATTTTCTCTTCAGTGTTATATTAAATGATTTTTGGATCAGAATGATATGTTCTACGCTTTGTGCTAGTTTCACGTTCTACTGTACCGTACTTGGATTTTTGTTTTCTGCATTTACATCTACCGTAATGTATTTTTACGATACGTACGAGCATTTGCAATACTTACAGGTTTGCAGTAATTTGTAGCTTTTCTTATTTCAGATGCAGACATCTTTTCAAGATATAAGAAGATTCGCCGACTGTAATTTAAGATTGGAAGAAAAATTGAAGGTTTACGGTTTTAAATATACTAAAACACTTATTATATTCTAGTATCAATTAAGATATAATAATAAAAGTAAATATTTTTTATAGATCTTGAACTTCATGAAGAGATACGGTAAAGAATCGCTGTGTTTGACATGCAGAGATTACTTCAAAATTACTAAAAAGTTCCCAGTAAAAGTAAGTTATGCAATATAATTTTGTAATATAGTAATTCGAGTGCTGGCACATGTATTCAGGTCTTTTGTGTGTAACATTTCAGATGGGAAGTTCTCTGGATTCCATATTTTCTGGACTAGAAAATATGAAGGAAGCTACGAAACGTAAAAGTTAATCATTACACAAAGATTACGATTTGAAAACAGAACTGAATAGAAAAATATTTGTTAAACTGTACGGAAACTTCTAATTATTTTTGAAATCCACGTTTAATGTTAAATTTCACAATTCTTGTCAGATAATATTTTAATAACATTCGCAAAATGTGTTGTATTAGGAGATTAATTTTGCACCATTGTTTTTTTCATAAGTATACATTTAGTGTTTGTATGAAAAACGCGAATAAATTGAAAATATGATGTACTAAATATTTTCACTACATTGATAGAAGAAAATGCCTTGTAGCTAATATTCTATATTATTCAATGTACATTCACAATGCTCATCGATGCACCAATTTATTGACCAATGNTATTTTCATTACATTCACTAAATGTGCTGTATTACGAAATAAATTTTGCACCATTAGTTTTTTTACTGTACATTTAGTATTTGTATGAAAAACGCGAATAAATTAAAACTTTGATCTACTAAATATTTTTTCTACATTGATAGAAGAAAATGCCTTGTAGTTTCTATTCTAAACTATTCAATGTACATTCACAATGCTCATCGATGCACCAATTTATTGACCAATGTATATTCGAACTGTCTTAAATAAATCAATTTTAAATACAGGATCATTATATGTTATTTGGACTGTGCCTATAGCTCGCTACTTCTAATCCACACATATTTATATTTCAATTGAAATTAACATTAATTAATAAATTAATACAGTCGACCCCCCCTATAACACGGTAGATACGTTCCGTTCTTTATGAAATTGATGTTCTATGAGTCCTTGAATACATGTGGTAATCACAGCCCGGCATGTATGCAGTTTACGAACTACGGCTGTTAGAAAGGTTTTCTTCCATAAAATTAATCAATTTTAGACTAATTCGACTCACTATTTTCAAAATACGTATAATTATTTGGGAATAATTTATATAAACTATGCTATAAAAAAAAGGAGGATTACTTACCGAGCGTGCACCGTTCGACGCCGCCATCGCTTAAGCTGTTTTCGTCGTGGAGCTTGTCATCGAATGGCGCTTGCGTGCTTCCTGATAATTTTTTTTTTTTGCGAAAAATTCGCTAAACTTTGGAGACATCATTAATATAAATATAAGTTTTATGCACGTTAAATAATAAATGGTTTTTAGTAGGTCCGCTGCTCGTTTAAACTCAACGGTTTGTACAATATCCGCTATTGGTCTAGATTCGGGCAATCCTGTCGCGGCACGAGTCGGCGATGACGTTTTTCCGAATTATACGAGTTTTTTAGCGTGTTTGTACGAATACTGTCGCAATTTTTTCGCCGTCATATAGGAATCCGAACTATATGAACCTGTGTTATAGGGGGCGACTGTATTTACGTCTACTAAAGAAGACAAACTGAATTACGCAGCAGCAGTGTACGAATTAAGACGTATTTGTAAAAACTATTAATGATTTTACATACCACAAATGGGCATACAAATGAAAACCAAGTAAAAAACATGTGTTAGCGTTAATGTCGACACCTCAACGATAACCGTTGGTACAACATCGAAAACAATATAATTGCGAAATAGAAAAACACCATGCCTAAATTTTATTACAGAAAACAATAATTAAATTAATTTTAAATATATGCTTTCCATCTGAAATTTCTATTGTTTACCATTTTAATATCATTACGTGTATCATACAGCATGCGGTCTTAGAATACAAATGCACGCGTAAGAACAATAAAAATAAAACTACAAGTAATGTTTTTGTTCTTTTATTTAAAAACTGTTATTCCTGTAAATGTAAAAAAGTGGAGTTTCGGATAAAACGTCGAAATGAAGAATCGTTTTATCTTAAAACTTGTAAACAAACTGACGAGGCACGGTACAGAAATGAACGTAAATTATATTTATAGTTTTTCAAAATGATAAATATTAGTCTTTAAATTGAAAACTATGAGAAAAAATGCAAATTTTAAGACAGTTTATAAAACAATTAAAAATAATAAGAATAGATATTTGGTATTTTGAGTTTTATTTTTTTTCTTTAAATTTAATGAAGTATGTTGAAAAATATATCGAAAGAAATTCACTTGATTTAACTTTATTATTATAGTGTACAATCATTTCTATGGATTATATCATTTACATAATGTTGAAATTAGAAAAATATTTATTTTACGCAAATTATAGTGAAAAGTTTTTACAATCGAATACAAGTAATAGTTATTTTAATCGAGTAAATTAACTACAACTCGAAATCTACTGACAATGCGACAATGACAACATTGGTATCTAGTTCTTCGCAGAATAAATTCCACAAAAATTATCTTCGGTGTTCGAACGATGCTTCAAACTTCGAACTGCGCTTGGCCGCAAAGAATGCGCTGGAAAAGTAAAATAAGCTTTTGAACATAAAAGACAATTTCGAATTAGCAATGATGATTTAAATCTTCCAGCTGATATAATTAAATTACTCATTTATATTAAATAATAACAGATATTAAATTTACCCCAAAAATTTCTATTGAACCCCATATTTTCTTTACTTATTAATGATGTCATCTGAGAAGTGTGCAGAGGAAAGAAATCTAACAAGTTAGAGAAAGGCTGTAATGTCGATAATTGAGATAAAAGAAGAACTTACTATTTGGCATGAAAGTGGTACACGTGTGGTAGATCTAGTAGCCATCTTTATCATGTCAAACAATAAATGCAATTTTCATTTTTCTTGAAGTGTTTACGTATTCTAGAAAGAATGAAAAGAAAATGTGAAGATGAAAAAAATGAAAATGTACCAGTGGCGTACCGTAGGGGGGCGGTAGGGGCGGCACTTTTTAGTGGGCGGCAAAATTTCACAATAAATAATAATAATATTTTGTAAAATTTTGAAACATCCTAATCTATACTTGCATCGCGCCTACGATGCAAGTATAGATGCATCGTGCCTGGGATGCATCCCCCTCGGCAGATGGTTCACGTGCCGCATTGCCGTAACCAAATAAACCAAATTAATTGTAACCAGAGATTATTTATTGTGACATCGTCACAATGTTCTCAATTTTCTACGTGGTGGTCTTACCCTGTACGTCACATTTTTACTGTTAGCAATAAGAAATCTAATTCCAAAGAGAAAAAAAATTTTCATAAGAATTAATGTCATTTTTGTTTCAAACCGAAAGTTTTTGTGGTTACTAAGAAGGCATTTTTAGATAGACCATAATGGTTTCGGCTAGACCAGGGGTCGGCAACCTGCGGCTCGCGAGCCACATGCGGGTCTTTGGATGTGAAGTTGCGGGTCTTTAGTTTCATATCCAAATATTATTTATTTTATCAAAAAAAACATTTAAAAATCGTTCTGAATCGATTAACGAGGATTCGGCACCGATTCTATCTCTCAGCCACTTGTACTCGCTTTTCATCGCACCCCTCCCCCGTGACACGCGTCGTCACTGTCGTCAGTCAGTCGGAAGCTCTCGAATGACGCCATCGTCGGATGTTTCTATGAGGATTAATTCGCTTTCGACGCCAGATAATTCTGAATAAATAGATTAGTTTTTTTTAATCAAAAAACTTTATTTATGGGAGTTCTATTTATTGTTGGCAAGAAAAAATTTTGTGGCTCTTTAAAAACTTTGAAATTTTGTAAATTGTAATTTTTGGCTCTTCCGACTCAAAAGGTTGCCGACCCCTTGGCTAGACCATTAGTAGAGTTGCGAGATAGTAAAAGATGGGGCTCGGAAAAACCAGGACCATATCTTGAAAAAAATATTTGAGCTTTTTCTCACCGTCTCTGAGGAAGTCGGCTTTGTACTTTCAACGGACATTTTCCATGCTTCATCTATTGTTGACAATCATAATTTAATACACTTAATTAAAAAAACACAATCAAGTAACCCAGATAATGAACTAAAACACGAAAACAATAAACAGAATACGTAAACACTGCACGATAAAACGAAAATTGCATTTATTTTTTGACACGATAAACGTGGCCACTAGAACTGCCATACGTGTACCACTTTCATGCCTAATAATAAGTTCCTTTTTTTATCTCAATTATCGAAATTACAGCCTTTCTCTAACTTGTTAGATTTCTTTCCTCTGCACACTTCTCAGATGACATCATTAATAAGTAAGAAAAACATGGGGTTCAATAGAAATATTTTGGGATAATTTTAACATCTGCTTTTATTTAATATAAATGTGTGATTTGATTATATCAGCTGGGAAATTTAACGCATCATTGCTAATTCTAGATTGTGGATTTTGTTCAAAAGCGTATTTTTCTCTTCCAGTGCATTCTTTGCTGCCAGCGCAGTCCGAAATTCGAAGCATCGTTCGAACACCGAAGATAATTTCTGTCGTATCTATTCTTCGAAGAACTAGATACCAATGTTGTCATTGTCGCATTGTCAATAGATTTTAAGTTGTAGTTAATTTACTCGATTAAAATATTTATTACTTGTATTCGATTGTAAAAAGTTTTCATTATAATTTGTGTAAAATAAATAATTTTGTAATTTCAACATTATGTAAATGATATAATCCAGTGGTTCTCAACTGGGGGTACATGTACCCCTAGGGGTACGTGCATAAATCGAAGGGGTACATCTAACTTTCGTTATAAAATTTGCTGTAAATTGTTAACACTTCTTGTGTTATTATTTGATAAGTATATTATATATAGATAGCTGAAATGTATTTATTTATACCACTGGTCTAGTTAGTTAGTTAGAGTTTTTTATGGCAGTCAGTTATAAGGGCTGTATACATCTAACGCAGTAATTATAAAATTTACATACAAAAATGTAGGGGTACTTGGAAACAACTAATGGGCTAATAGGGTAAATCAACAAAAAAGGTTGAGAACCACTGATATAATCCATAGAAATGATTGTACACTACAACAATAAAGATAAATGAAGTACTTTTCTTCAGCTATATTTTCGACATTCTTCATTCAAATTAAAGAAGAAAAACACAACTCAAAATATCAAACATCTTTAATTATTCTCAACTGTTCCGTAAGTGTCTTAGACTTTGCATTTTTTCCCATTGTTTTCAATTTAAACACTAATATTTATTATTTTGAAAAACTATAAATATAATTAATGTTCATTTCTGTACCTTTGTTTACAAGTTTTACGATAAAGCGATTCTTCATTTCGACGTTTTATCCGAAACTCCACTTTTCTACATCTAGAGTAATAAGAGTTTTTAAATGAAAGAACAAAAACATTACTTGTAGTGTTATTTTTATTCTTCTTATGCGTGCATTTCTATTCTAAGACCGAATGGTGTTGATACTAAGACCGTATTCTAAGACCGTATGATACAGTAATGATATAAATATGGTAAACAATACAC